CCTTCCTTCCTTCCTTCCTTCCTTCCTTCCTTCCTTCCTTCCTTCCTTGCTATGAATTCACTGTAGTGAGAGCATCTGCTTACCAGCAAGAAAGCAGGCAGAGGAGGAAGTTGAGATCTGCTGCAAGTAAATGAGGTGCTCTGAGTCTTAGACGGAGGCCTCTCCAGGTCTCAGGCTCTTGCTCATACAGGTTTGTTTTCACATGCTAAGCCTTTCTCACAAGATAAATGTCTAATGAGTCATTTCTGTTTAGAAAGTTGTTTAGGGATTGGAAGTTACCTGACAATGATGTAATGTTTGACACTGAATCTTTAGGGTGGGGAGTTCTAACTTCATTAAGCCCTTTATACTGTTACAAGTCAGACAAGTATTGGCAAGAATGAGTGGCTGAGCTCCTGCCCTTGTGCCTTAGTCCCAAAGAGTGGAAGGGAAGTATAAAGTTTGCCTTTGGATAGTGAGCCCCAGTCTATAGTGCCCTGTGCTGAACAATACAGTCTTACAAGTTAATACCAGTGTACCCCCTGGACCTTAGTAAATCAGCAGAAGACAGCAGGAAGCCGGCCTCAGACAGAGAACTATTGGAACTGAGCCTTCAGGATGTCCCTCAAGTCAGTGAGGGTCTGTGGGGGGAAACTTAAGAGATTTTATATATGTATTTATTTGTGAATGGTACAGCAGTCTTTATTTTTAGTATATTCTGAAAACTACTTCAAGAGGTTGGGAGCTTTTCGGACAGTACCCTAACTTCTGCCTTGGGAACATTAGTAATAGTCTGTCCCCTTGATGTTGCCTTTCTTGTTTTCTGTCTTACCAGTTGCATAAGAGGTGTATTCCATCCCTTTGCCCTGTGTTAACATGTTTAGGATCTGTGCTGTTAGCTCTTTCACAGCTTGAGTGTGAGCGCCCTGGCTGCTTGACTGACTGTGCTGTTGGGGACAGGCTGGGGACAGGGTTGGCCACTTAGAGGTAGCATCATCAGTCAGTACTTGTGAGTAACAGTTCAAGTTCACTTATTAGGAATCAGTTTAGAGAGGAAGCTATTCTAGAAGAAACTGTGTCAACCATTTCTCTGAGTCTTGAACTCAGTACGTACTTCGTGACCAATGGCTTGGGTGCCGCACACCGTAAACAGGGGGAGGCTGCTCAACCTGCCTTTCTGAGAAATACAAAGGGTTGGTTTTGTTTTTAAGATGAAAATATGTGCAGAGTGTTAAATGTCACAGGAACTTACTTGTTTGTGCTTATGGATGTGGTATAGCTGTTTCCTGGTCTTTTCTAGAATACTGTAGTGGAATAGTGGAAGCCAGGACTGTGGGTGTTGACTAAGCAGCCCTTTTCTCTTCTTTCAGAGCTGTAGGTAAAACGTGCCTGCTCATCAGTTACACGACCAATGCATTTCCTGGAGAGTACATCCCTACCGTGTGAGTATCCTCCTCAGGCTGGGAACCAACTGGTCTGGGATGTGTTTTTCTGTTCTTTTGTAAGGCCCTTGTCAATCCAAATATGAACTATTAGTGTTTATTTTCTTTTTTTCTTTTTTGTTTTCTTTTTTCTTTTTTTTCTCTCTCTCTCTTTTTTTAAAGGTTTTTCTGAGACAGGGTTTCTCTGTGTAGCCTGGGCTGTCCTGGAACTCACTCTGTAGACCAGGCTGGCCTCAAACTCAGAAATCCGCCTGCCTCTGCCTCCCAAGTGCTGGGATTAAAGGCGTGCACCACCACTGCCCGGCATCCTTTGAATCATCAACTGGAATAGAATTGTTAGGTGTTTAGAACTTAAAAAAGAAATGAGCCAATTTAATGTATAATTTCCTCATATGAGGGAATATACAGTTTCCTCATTGATTTTCGGATATTTAGGAAACAAAAGAAAATGACACTGAAGTGCATAGGCTGGGAAATGTAAAGCCCAGAGCCTGACCACAGCAGTTGCTCACTGACTTGGCTCTGGGCACTGGCACACAGAGTGCTGCTGCATTTGGGTTCATTGGCCCTCTGGCAAGTCATGAGGTGGTTCCATGCCATGCTTACTGGGCTGTAGAAGTGAGCTGGGTGTGGGGTGGGCAGAGGTGGGTTCTAGGCTGCTGATTTTGTATGGGTAGCCTAACTGAGTGGGAAGGAAAAGTGCTTCTCTCACTGAGGGCTCACTGGGGAGCCTCACTGTGTGGCACAGCTCCATCCTCACGTCTGCAGCCAGTTCACCCTTGAAGGCTCTCCTTGGGGGAGACCACGAGGGCTTTACCATAAAGCCTAGGCTGACTTGGAACTTTTTCCTTGCCTCCCAGTATATACCACCCCACCATCTTTATAAAGGTTGCTTTGGTCAGTAGTCTGTAAATCACACCATCTTAAACTTTGCTTTTATACTAAGAGCCCCTGTTTTTAAGAACTACAAATAGTAATAATTAAAAACAAAAACAAGCCTCTTTTGTCTTGAAATCTATGTATTAAGACTTGTGGCTGGAGAAAGGACTCAGTGGCTAAGAGGACTGGTTGTTCTTTCAGAGGACCTGGGTTTGGTTCCCAGCACCCACATAGCAGCTCCAGTTTCAGGGGATATGTTGCCCTCTTCTGAATTTCATGTGCACCAGACATACATGTGCTGTGCATACATACACACCAGCAAAACATATGAAGATACTGTCTTGTTTTAAATTGCAGTGGCTTTTTTTTCCCTTCAGAGATGGTATTTGGGTAGCTCAGGCTAGCCTTCAATTCCTGACCTGATCCTGCTCTATACTTTTGGTTTTGGGGTTGTTTTTTTTTTTTTTTTTTTTTTAAGTAGTCAGTAATATCAGTAGCATTTTTTGTTGTTCTGAGGTCTGTTTGGTTGTCTGAGAGCAAAGTCTGTAACCTAAGCAGACCTTGAACTCTTATGATTTTCCTGCCTCAGTGTCTTAATGCTGCAATTACCTCTTAACTAATTTGTATGTAGCAATTTTAGGCTAACGTACATATTTATGTGGTCAGGTGCACTCACTCTGAAAACCCAGGTGGCCTCTCAAGTCCAAATGGACTTGCTGTACTGCTGCCCTTGACCTCAGACCCGGGTGACTTTGCTGTGTGCTCTAGCAGCACACAGCTGAACATGAGCAGAATGTGTGCCTGAGAGACTTGACAGTGGGATTGGGGAGAGGGACTTGCTCCAAGTTGTCCTCTTCATACAGGGGAAACCCTGTTTATTAAAGGTGGAGTTTGTTTTGGTTTTCTGTTTGTTTCCTGTAAGTCAGTAGCCTGCCCTTTGTTTCTCTCCTCTCTGGTGTGTGTGAGGTGATGCCCTGTGTCCTCTTCCCTGCAGGCACTCTGCATACCTCAGGGCTGCTTTCTGGACCAGCAGCAGCCTTGGTCCCCTGTCTGTGACTAATGTTTTCTTGTCTTTTTCTACAGCTTTGACAACTATTCTGCCAATGTTATGGTAGATGGGAAACCAGTGAATCTGGGCCTGTGGGACACAGCTGGACAAGAGGATTATGACAGGTTGCGTCCCCTCTCCTACCCGCAAACAGTAAGGCTCACACTTGGTTTTGACTGTGTATAATTGTCTAGTGTCCAGTGCTCACAGACCTGCGTGTGCTGCTGGGATTGGGTCTGTGAGAAGAGTCAGTAAAGATGAATACCTGCTTTCGTGCCAGCCAGAATCTGGAATCTTGAATATTACCACTTTTTCAGCCCTTTTTATTTTATGTTCTTTTATTTACCAGAACAGAACAGGTACTGTCTTATTTTTGGTTTTGCAAAACTGTTCTTTATAGCAATTACTTTGAAAGGTGGCTTGTTCTATGATGGCTTGGCACTGTAAAATCAAATTAAGCAGTTAGGTTGGGCATGGTGGCTCATACCTGTCATCCAATGCGTGGGAAGCTGAGGGTACAAGTTTGGGGCCAGCTTGGTCTATAGTTTTCTCAAACCTTGTCTTAAAAAAATCCAAATTCAGCGTTAATATTAAGGTTTCTTGAGCTGGGGTGTTGCTTAGTTGTTAGAATGATTGCCTTGCATTCCCAGTCTTGAGTTACATCCCTGGCACAACATAAACTGGACATAGTGCTTTATGCCTTTAATCAGAAGTGAAGGCACGATCGTCAAGGTCGTCCTTGGTTATATAAGTTCTAGCCTGGACTACATGAGACCCTGTTTCAAAAAAAAAAAAAAGTTATGGCTTCTGTAAACTGAATTAGTAACTTACCTTAGGGCTTAATACTTCTTTTTCCCCATAAAGCTCATAGTTCTTGGCATCAGTACAAAGTCTTTAGTGTAGATTGAGGTTTCAGTTTTATAAAGTAGACCTTTGTGTCCAGCCAGGAAAAAACACTTTTTTAGATTACTTTGGCTTCTGTATGAGACAAGCAATGATTGATAATTTACCAAAGCTAATTAGAGCAGTGGTTGGCAGGCTGATTGAGTACTTGGTGTCTGATGCAAAGTGTTGTCATGTTGTGTTGCTTGCTATCTCAGTTCATGGTCTTCATTTTAGACTGCATGTTAGGGCCAGAGCTTATGGCTCAGGGAACAGCATTTGCCTTTCTATGAAGCAGCACAGGGACACAGGGACACAAGGAAGCAATAGTATCTCAGTACAGTCTTGGTGCCAAAGTGACAGACCTTAAATGTTCATGGCAGGCAGCAGAGCAAATGTCGTGGACTCAGGCCCTGCACTTGTGCTTTGCTGTGCAGTCCCAGTCAGTGTCCTCATGTCTGTCCTCTGCATGCCTGCCATTAGCATGAGGTGACTTACCATCTCAGACAGGTGCGTTAGCTCAGGCCCGTCCTTTCAGGACTTTGGAGACAAAGGCAGGCGGCTGTCTCTGAGCTCAAGGCCAGCCTGTCTGGAGAGTGGGACCATGTTTGAAAATATAACAGCACAGTCCCTGTTGTGCACACAGCAGTTCCCGCCTAGCCCATGCCCTCTAGTGCCCAGTTGCTCCCCCTTCACCTTACTGACGATGGGCAGAGGCTCCTCTGTTCAAGGTTTGTTTGGATGAGCATTACTTGTGCTCTCTTGCTTAGAGGTGGGAGCGGCTGGCTTGGGATGGAGGAGAAAGCTTAGAGAAAGGCAGGCTTTGAACCCTGGTTGACTAGGGAGCTGTAACCTTACTTAGGAGGGTCAGGAATCAGTTCCACTCTACAGAGTTTGTATTTTTAAAATTAACTTCCTGTTTAGTTCATGATGGATTTACGTGTTAGAAGATGCCTTTTCTCTGCAGCCAGAGAATACCTTTTGTTTCTCACTGGAAATGTTACCAGATACTGTCTCTTTGTAGGTTTTTGTTAATTAAGTTACAGCCAAATTTCAATTATAGTTAATAATGCTAAATAAAGATCAAAAATGTAAGAGGAAAGGTTTGAATTGGGTGTTTCTTTTTTCTAGCTAAAAACTAAGTAGGAATAAGTATTTAAAATCAGCCCACAATCACAACATGATTGCAGAAACAGTACATCTAGTGAGTGCTGAATAGTTCCAGATTTTAAAACATAGCAGTTGGTATCTGTCCAGCCCATTGGATGTGTCTGGAAGGGTGTGGTATCATTTCTGAGAAATGAGAGACACCCTATTGTGACACAGCGGGTACAGAGTAGGGTGCGGCATGCTGTCTAAGGGAGTCGAGTCAAAGGTGACCACGGAAATTGGACTCTGTATAGGGTGTATCAGATAAGTGGACTCTTGCCAGGGTGAGAAGCTGTAACTGAGTGTGAGAGGCCAGGCTGCTGTGGGAAGCTGAAGTCATCTGTGTGTGCCAGGCAGTTTCCTTGTATAAGGACTGAGTGAGAAAGGAGGAAGACAAGATTCCTGCTAATATTCCATGTTCCAGTGTGGACAGTGTTCCAGGCGGAGGTCAGAGCAGACTGGAGAATACACAGCGAGCAGCTAAAGACTTGCCTGCTCAGTGTGTGTGTGTGTGTGTCTGTCTGTCTCTTTCTTCTTTGTCTCTCTTTCTTTCTTTTTTAATAGAGTTTATTCAGGGCATGGGGAGGGGAGTTAAGAGGGTAGTGGGGGGGGGGAGGAATGCGCACGTGCGCACAGAGAAGAAGAGTAGAGAAGTAGAGGCTGGGCATTGAGAGGGGGGAAGGGGCAAGAGGACAGAGCAGGCGCAAGAAGGCAGAGAAGACTTTGTTAGATGTGGAGGGTGTGCTCGGATGCCAGTGCTCACAAGTCTGCCTTGCTTTCGACTACACTGTCATACTACAGGCCGACCCAGGCTCTCCAGGCTGCCACCACGTTCTGTTGTCTATGCTAGCTGGCACATGGTCCTAACTTTGGCTCTCTGAGCTATAAGCCTGTTTATGGGACTCTTTAAACCCCTGTGGTCAGAGCTGAGCAGTGCTGGTGCACACCTTAACCCTAGCACTTGGAGTTCAAGACTAGCCTGGTCTGCATGTCAGCACTACACAGAAACCCCTGACTCATAAACACAAGCGGACAAACGAAAAGTGTGGTCAGAGAGTCTTCTGAAGGGGCAAGTGGAAGATTTCTTGTTTGGGACACAGTAAAAAGAGATGACCACACTTCCTGTGGCCATTGTTATTTTGAAACAGGGTCTTCTTCACTCTATAGCCAAGGGTGGCCTGCAGCTTAGAGTGCTTTGTTTTTGTTGTTGTCTTTTGGCCTCATCCTTCTGAATGCTGAGGTGATGGCTTTTGTTTTAAATACTTGTTTAGTGTGTATGAATATTTGCTTACATGTATGTGCATATGTGTACTGTGTACATGCCTGGAGCCAGATCAGAGCCCTAGAAACTTTGTGGATTGCCCCGTGGTGCTGGGTGACACCCCTGGTCCCATTTGTGGAAGAGCAGCCCTCATGGATCTAGCTCCTGTTATTACAGTTGTGAGGACCCAGAGCTGCTGCAGGTTTGATTTTCTTTGGTTGTTGTTGGTGGTGGTGGTCTGGTTTGGGGTTTGAGTTAGTAGTCCTACCTATCCTAAAACTTAACTCTATAGATCAGAGTGGCCTCGAATCCAGAAATCCACCTCTCTCTACCTCCTGCGTGCTGGGGTTAAAGGCCTGAGTCACCACTGCCTGGTGCAGTTTTGATTTTCAGAGGGTTTCCTTTGTTAATATGACTGTTAGATGTTTTGTCCTTTGGCCAGAGGTCACTAGAAAACTACTTACAGTTAGCCAGAATGGGGTGTATTGCTTTTTGCCATAAGGGAAACCCACTGGGGTTTTATTATGCAATGGGGGTGTGCAGGACTCAAAAAAGGGGTTTGCTCTGGCTAAGTGCTGTCTTAGCCTTGCACTTTAGGAAGTCCTGCCTAGAAGGCTGTGGGGTATATTGGGGCTAAAGCTGCTACACATGAAAATCCCTCCCTGCACTCTGAGCCTCATGAAGTGACCTTTGGTTTAGGAAATGATCTAGTCTTTATTTCCATGTGGTTCTTCCTCTTCATCAACATAGTCACACAGGGTCTGGAAGCTTGAGAGGATTTACAGGAGCGTCCTTCCTCCGGGCAGCTGTCAGCATCAGGCCGGCTGCTGCCTTCCCAGGGTCTTTTCCTGGTAACACTTGTCCAGCTTTTCAAAGTTCTTCCTTCTCTCTCTCTCTCCCTTCCCCCCACCTCCCTCAGCTCTGGTCATTTTCCCTGTTGTGTGGACTCCGCATATTAAAAAGAAAAATCCACACGTGAGCCTAGGTCCAGATACAAAGTGGGTGGATTTGAGCAGAATGAAAGGCTCTGTGTATCTGAGAGTGAGCGCTCCAGAGCCTCTTGTCCTGCCTCATCTCATTCTAAAAGCTGCCTCCCACCGGGGACAGTGCCACTGACGGAAGAGGTGTGTCAAGTGGGACCACTCGAGTTGTAGTTGGTGTATGATGCTGTGTGTCTGTATGTGGTGTGACAGGTCACCTTCAGGTGTTGTCCCTCAAGAACCACCTTGTTTTTAATACTGGGTCTCTCACCAGGACTCAGGGTTTTACCCTAGGGCTCCTTATGCTTGCCCAGCAAGCATGTCCCTATATGAACTCTCTTCAGCCATGGCTGTACATTTGACTGCTGAGGGACAGGTAGCTGGTGACACGGGAGGGAAAAAGTTATTGGAGACTCACTCAAATTAAAGACATCTGTGTATGTGGTGTCACAAGTATCCTGGTGATGTAGGAAAGTAGTCAAGTCCCCAAGAAAGATGGTCAGCCACCCGTGAGAAGGTAGAGACAGGTACTGTCATAAGGATAGGGGGAGCAGAGACACCAGCAGCATAACCTTGTTTGCCCTGTATCGGGAAAGAAGAGATTGATGGTAGGAAAACAGCATCAGAAGCCAATTACTATAGTAAAAGCTGAGTTTAGGTCAAGGGGAGGGGTAAAGCAGCAGAAGAAAGCAGGAGGCGAAACATGGTGTGCACCTGAGTTAGGGATGGAGCTGTGGTACGGTGTGTGCATGCCTTTGCTGCATCGGGAAGATGCACTCCTCACTGAATGCACTACTCACTCCCAGAGCCGGGCTAGGAGGCTGACATCCCTTTGGCTCTGTTCTGGAAAGCGTCACTGTGCCTACAGGCAGCTGCCTCGGCTGTCTACAGGAGGCTTTTTTTGGCTTATCTCTGAGAACAGTGGAGTTCTTCAAAGATCTTGTCAGTAAGTGATGCCAGCAACAGGCCACTTTGTGAGCACTGAGCTCTGTGGGGTGTGTTAAATTCTGGCAAGTGCCGGGGTGCTGGGGTGGCAGGCCCAGCATTCCCTTGACTGACTTACTGAACTGCAGGGGACAGCCCCTCAGCTCCAGCTTCATGGAGTAACGGCTGTACCTCTCGGTTCCTAAGATGAATTGTGATTGCACAGCTTGGGATTCCTCGGGGGGCTGAGACGGACTTCTGATGAAACTAACAGGTTGTATTGATTGTGTATTTCTTAGTTTGTACTGAACTCAAGCCAAGTTCTCCTGCATTACTAGGTTGGAGACACATGTGGTAAAGATAGAACCTCCAGGGGCAAAGACAAGCCGATTGCCGTATGTAAGCCTTTGAGTCGACCTCAGCCTCAAGCTTTGTCTCTTCTCTCATCTCACTGAGTCTCCGGGAACACCGTTGAGCCTCGGGTTCCCTGAGTGTTTCCTCTCTGATTCACTCAGGAGAGGCCGCTCTTGATGAAATGAGCTTTCACTGGGCTGTGACTGTTCACTCCCAGTGGATTATGTAGTCGATGAACTGCTTACTCCCTCCTCCCGTGTGATAGGAGGGGCACCCAGAAGCCCCTCTCTGGGATGCTTGGAGGGGCCACCTGGTGCTCATGTGGGTGCTTCCTCGCCGAGCCAGACTAACCACTCCCAGGGCCTCTTCTCTGACTCTGGTGTTCTGTGTGTGGGCTGTGGGCGGCTGCGCAGCACTGGTGAGCTAACCCAACTGTGCTTTGAGAGGGTTTGGAATCAACTTGGATGCTTGGGAGGCCCCGGTGATTCTGATAGGCCTCTGCATGCGCCAGCATTGAAGTAAACAATTGTTTATAAAAAGCTGTTGTGTGGGACGTTTCTTTCCTTTTCAGGTACAAGATACCAGCTGGATGGTTTAAGGTGCTAGCTTGGGAACTGTATACATTCCACAAAATAGCATAGTTGCTTTTTCTAGGGCTATGTCTTGATAAGCCTAACATTTTAGAAACCTTGGGCATATAATTTTATACAGTTAAATACCTGAATTTTACTTTATATGTGATAACACACAAGAAGAAACCTCAGATATTTTCTATTCAGCCGGTAGTTTCTCTTGACGTCAGCACTCTTGCACTGCTTGTCCTTGCGTTCTTTGCGGCCACAGGTACACTGGGGCAGCTTTCCCAGAGGCCCTTGGCTGTGCTTGGGAAGGTGTGCAGTAGTTGGTGTTTGTCTGTTGGGAGATGGCACACTGAGTTCCCTCCATGGCTGGTAGGCTGGGAGCAAATTCTTGAACTCCATTTTGTGCCAGGGACAGTGGCAAGCTGGCTGACTGACGCTAGAGGTGTAAGGAAGGCTGGCGCTTACTGTGCATGGGGGCTTAACGAGAAGCGCGTCTCGTTAGAGGATGAATTTAAATTGACTGCAGCATTCACGGCCTGAGAGAGACCATGGGTTTCCTGTGTAGAATTTGTGTTGATAACAGACAATTAGGTTTCCAGTTGGGCATGATTAGAGATCGGCCTCTTGGGAATGTGATTAGATACCTCCCTAGCATCAAATGGCTTCCAGCAGTTTCTTCTTTCACGTTCTCTTTCTCAAAAGGCAGATGTGGTAATGGTTTGTGAATCATCTGTCCAACTAGAGGGGTAAGTGGGGAGCTGTGAGGACCTAGGTGCAGGTAGCAGGAGGCACACAGGGCCTCGACAGCTCATCGCTAGCAGCGTTAGGCAGAACACCCGACAGTTTACGATTGTCCTCCACATGTTGCCTGTGTTTCCTTTCTGTAGGACGTGTTCTTAATTTGCTTTTCCCTCGTGAGTCCTGCATCATTTGAAAATGTCCGTGCAAAGGTAAGTGGGACTTATGGGAAGATAACATCAGTCCCAGAGAAATACTAAAGAGTAAAGTGAATGCCGTCCACCCTGGGAGCTTGGGGTTGTTTAACTTGGTTTAATAACTGCACTGAGGAGTGGGCCATTTAAGTCTGTGGCTTTAGAATACGGGTTTCTAGAACATACTTTCTGTGGGAAGCTCCTCCCTACAGTAAGAAGCACTCAGAAGTGGTCTAGTGACTGGTTCTTTTCTGCTCTAGCATCTAGAACCAACCCAGTGAGACAGGGTGAGGGACCTGTTGGTGTAGAGGTTGGGACCATGGTGGGGTTATGGTCCCTGGGTTGATCGTGAGTTTTCTAGGGTGATCCTATAAATTAGATTTATTTTCCTGAAAACAGAAGTAGCCTTCCTTTGTGCCTTTTCTCCTTTCCCTGGTCCTTGACAGGTGGAGTCTGTTGTGTTGTCCTCTGTCTTGGGGACCTGGCTAGCCAGGGTACATAACGCAGGGACGATGTTCTGTGGGGCCAGCTGTGGCTGGAGGTTGGCACTCGCTGCATGTAAGCTTTGTGAAGGAAGGCAGAACAGAAGAGGGGCTTGACCTTGTTTTTTTTCTCCACATGTAGTGGTATCCTGAAGTGCGACACCACTGTCCCAATACTCCCATCATCCTAGTGGGGACGAAGCTTGATCTTAGGGATGATAAGGACACGATTGAGAAGCTGAAGGAAAAGAAGCTGACTCCCATCACCTACCCGCAGGGGCTAGCCATGGCGAAAGAGATTGGTAGGAAACCCTCATTTCTTGTTTCTGCCTTGCAGTCCTGATGACAGACAGCTGCAGTCCGCCCAAGAGAGGGAAGTTTTTCCTTCTTGGGGTCTCTTTGTTTTGGGCAACCAGCCAAGCCAGGCCTTTGCTAGCCTTAGTGTTGATGTGGAAGTTGGCTGCTGGTTCAGCTGGGTGTCATGTGGAGCCTCCCTTGCTCTGCAGAGTATCTGTCATCGCCTGTGGCTGTCTTTTCTAGGTGCTGTCAAATACCTGGAGTGCTCGGCACTTACACAGCGAGGACTCAAGACAGTGTTTGATGAAGCTATCCGGGCGGTTCTCTGTCCACCTCCTGTCAAGAAGAGGAAGAGAAAATGCCTGTTGTTGTAAATGTCTGAGCCCCTTGTTCTTGGTCCTGTCCCTGGAACCTTTGTACGCTTTGCTCAAAAAAAAAAAAACAAAAAAAAACCCAACAACAACAACAAAAAAAACGGTGGAGCCTTCGCATTTGATGCCAAGTTTTTGTTACAGATTAATTTTTCCATAAAACCAGTTTGAACCAATGAACCAGTCAATAATTTTAAGGTTCTGTTTTAAATGTAAGAATTCCAACTTACAGTCTATTAAAATTCAGCCCTAAAATGACAAAGCCTTCTTAAAGCCTTATTTTTCAAAATCCCCTATTCTTGCTCAGATTAAGAATTGCCAAAATACCTTCTGAATGAAGTTGCGTTGTGCTGACAACACTTCAGCACTAAACTGTTGAGAGACTTCTGTTAAGAAGACTGCAGCTTCTGGAGCCAGGGCTGCAGACCCTTCTGTAGTTCCCAGACCGTGTGACACAGCACAGCCTCCTTAATGACACGTTGCCATGTAACGCACCTGTAACTTATCAGCCCATGTTCATTACGTAACTTTGTACTGTACGTCACAATGATGAGTGTAACAGCTCAGCTCTTTGATTTTGTAGTGAGTTTTCTAAAATACCAGTTGACGAGCTTTTGCAGACTTTGAACAGAACTCTGGTTCCTGTGTTGCCTCTAATGAAGTATTCTGTTCCTAGTCGTGGGTGTACTGGGTGGAGTGGGTGAAACACGACATGATCAAAGGAGACAGACAGTATTCTGACTAACATGAAGTAGAGATTACTTTACACTACATTGTACATGGAGTAATTCAACTGAATAAAAGTGTCACGGGTAAAGCTTTTTAACGGTTAATTTCTGTCAAACAGTAGGTGACAAATGGCCGATCTTATCAGTGTCTCTTGAGCTTCCCCCCCACACACACACTGTCGTCCCTCCCCAGATGGGGCGTACTCCATATTTAAACTGGCCATCCTCACAGTTGCTAACCTAGCAAGTGCTTTTCTTTAGGAACCCCTTCTTAACGAGCAATATGTCTGACCTGTACTATAAGATCTTTCTGATAATGCATTCAGAGATTTTTTTTTTTTTGGTAGATTAGTAGAAGTGCGTTCCTGTTTTCACCTTACTTTACTCAAAGCTAATTAGCGCTTTCCTTAGTTTTCTAGTAACTAGGTGTAAAAATCATGTGTTGCAGCTTTACAGTTTTTAAACTATTTTAGATATTCTTAAACTATGAACCTTCTAAACATCACTGTCTTGCCAGAGTACCAACACTGTCACGTGACTAATGCTGCCCCTCTAGACCTCACCCACGTGGACATATGCTTCCCGTCGTGGCTCTGCCTAGAGATGTTCCTTCAGGTCTGTGAGGTTCTGTCAACTGCTAGTGCTAACGCTGTTCTGTACAACCTAACTCACTGGCAAGAATACAGTGTTGGGCCTTTCAACCACTAGAACAAACTTTTTTCAATTGACAGTTGCAGAATTGTGGAGTGTTTTTACATTGATCTTTTGCTAATGCAGTTAGCAGTATGTTTTGCATGTATGACTTAATAAATCCTTGAATCATACAACTGGTCATGCTTGTGTTTTGGGTGTTTGCCTTGCTTTAAAACCCTGGACCGCCAAGGATGTGCTTTTCATATTGGAGGGATTGCCACCTTCAGGGAGTAGGTAAGTGAGCCCACAGCCACACTTGAGTGGACTTGATGTTTGGTCACTCTGGTTGAGCTGTTGTGGGGTGCTTGGGTGGGGTCCCCATGGCGGGGTGTGTGCCTGAGCATGGAAGGGCGCCAGGACTGAGTGCTCACGACGGAGAAGCTGCACTGCAGGGCTTAGCAGGATCTCAACCCACTGTCAGATGGCCAGCTATGATTAGCTTTCATGGGTGAATCTTTAAATAGAAATTATATGCGTGTGTACATGCACATTTCTCTGTAGGATAGAGACCAGGTTGGCCCCAAGCTCCCAAGTGCTGTGACTAAAATTTGCACCACCATTTCCCAGTCTAAATTCTGACATGCACCTTCACCATCTTGTTCAGCCACAGCTCTTGATCCACTGAAGGATCTGAGGGAGCCTCTTATCAACCTCTCTCCAGCACCTGGGTCCTCACACTTACATGACACTAGCCAAGCCATCTCCAGCTGCCTTGTTAAAAAATAGCATATTTTAAGATTTCATCAGTCTGCATTTTGCTATCACCATCATATCTTTATACCCTACGTAACTCCATGGCATATGTAGCATGACAAATTGGGTCTCTGAGGGCTTTCACCTTAAATCCAGGTTCCTGGGCTTTGCCTTAAGAGTTCCGACTACAGTTATTTTTGTGGTTATTCTGGCTGGCATAGAACTCACTAAGTGTGGAGCAGGCTGGGCATGAGCGCACAGAGAATGGCTCGCCTCTGCTCTGACGCTGGGATTCAAGTGGCTCACCATACCTGGCAGGTGCACTTACTACTGTGCCCTGTAAGGTCTCCCTTCAGTCTCACTTGCCTCCCTTTTGGAGTTTTGTTTGGAGACATCTCAAGTACCAAAAGATGGCTTGGATCATTTAAAGTAGTTGAGTATGACCTCCAGTGTCTGGTCCTCCTGCCCCCATCTGAGTGGTGGGGATAACAGGCCCAAGTCACCACACTTGGCTTTTTTGTTGTTTTCTGGATTTTTTTTTTTAATTGTGTTATATGCAGTCCATAGTAACCAGAGTGACGAGACAACTTGGTTTAGAATCAAGGCAGAAAACTCCTTACCGCTGGGCACAGCAGTACGTGCTCGCAACCCCAGAGTCCTGGCTGACGCAGGGAGACGGGTGAGTTGGAACTCAGCAGGTTTCCGGCTCCCAGGAACACACCTCCCTGAGGTACTCGATGATATACCAACTACTTTATTTTTTTGAAATTCCCGAGCCACCCACCTGGCTCAGATGTAGACTAAGGTGAGAATTAAGCATACATAAGAGTTAGTGGTCAGCTCAAGCATACATGACGGAGGGCTGCAGTGCCGGGCTCAGAGGAAGCTCGGGCTGTCCTAGTGCCCCGGGAAGAATTCAGGAAAATAGAAAGTGCACATCTGTTGTCTTGAAGTTCAGACTCATGTAAACAGCAGGATGGGATCCTAGCAGGAGTGGGGGTGGTGCAGACCCACTAAGGGGCCTCAGATGTAGAGTTCTTGGGTGGCTTGCACCATGAGCTGGCCTAGAAGTCCCAACACCTATACATGTTCCCAACTTCGGATCCTGTTAATACTGTGGTTAAAAATGGTGCCATAGGCCAGGCAGTGGTGGCACATGCCATTAATCCTAGCACTCAGATGCAGAGGCAGGCAGATCTGAGTTTGAGGCCAGCCTGGTCTACAGGGTGAGTTCCAGGACAGCCAGGGCTACACAGAGAAACTCTGTCTTGGAAAAAACAAAACAAAACAAAAAAAAAAAGGTTGTATAACTTGTATGGTCATATTGATGTCAGTTTCTGCCAGGACCCCTCAGGTTACTGTTGATGGACAGATAACCACCATACCAGCCTCACAGAAGCCACTCACAGTCTGTCAGCCTCAAGAAAAAAACAAAAGCAACAACAAAAGAGCCTCTCAAAAAACACAAGTCCATTGTGCTGGTCAGTGTCCAGTAGAGCCGACTAAGGTACGTTAGAGCCGCCTTGCCCTGGGCAGGAGACACAGGCTGTTCTGTCAGCAACCACTCTGTCCAGGGCCCGAATCACAATGTCAGGCATGTGGTCAGTCAGCATCTTTGGGCCTATGAGGATCTTACTGAATTCTGCTTCATGTGCCCACCTTGCTCTGTACTGGGCAGCAGAACAGCAACCAACCCTTGAACAGAAGAGAATATCCGTTAGGCCCTTGGGTCCGTCTTGAGTCACCCTCAGTGCATGGGCATGGCAGACTCCCATGTCCCCATACTCACCTCCCTGAACCACCCTCCTCTTCCAGGTGGATGATCCTGCCAGGTGGGTACAGAGTGGGGTACTTGGTGGGAGAGTCCAGTGGGGAGTCGCTGGAGCAGTAGCCTGGGGAACATCGTGTTAGAAGAGTCTGTTCCCCGAGGAGAGGCTGAGTCAGGGCCCCCTGGTTGCTCTCGTCCAGTTCAGTTGGAAAGTTGTCAGGGCTTCCTCCAAACAATCCGTACCAACAGCCATGCAGCAGGATCTTGTACTGAAAGGTGAGAGCCGAGGGCTAGGTTTGTCCTGTGCTGGGTGGTAGCCCTCAGGGCTGAGCCTGTGCTACCATAACCATAGAGCCATCGGACTTGCAGCAATAGCCAAACCCCAAACCATATGTATATTTTAAAATTGTGTGTGTGTGTGTACGTGTACTACAGATTGATCCCAGAGCTAAGATGTACACTTGCTAAGACTAAACTCTTATCACTGAGTTAGCTGCACCCCAGGGAGACAGGTGCTACTTTCTAAAAAAAAGGTTAACAAGAAAGAAAGCCTTGGGTTCCATCCCCAGCACCATATAAAACCAGGCATGGTGGCACACGCCTGTGATTCAGCGTTTGGAAGGCAGAGGCAGAGAAGTTCATCAACAGCTAGCTACACAGTTCAAGGCCAGCCCAGCATACTTGAGACCACATATATATAAAAAAAAAAAAAAAAAAAAAAAAGGCCAGTGGTGGTTCTTAATCCCAGTACAAGCAGGCTGATCTCTGAGTTCCAGGCTGTCCTCTACAGTGAGGTCCAGGACAGCCAGTGCTACACACAGAAACCCTGTCTCAAAAACAGGAAATAACCAAAAACAAAAACCCTTAGATGTTTGGTAAGAAGTGAATATTAAATTTTCTGATCAGCATCATTTTAAAAAGGGAAGAAGACAAAAGCACCGTAGCCTGTGGCGCAGGTGACGCACCTTGGCAGCATATCTTGACTAGAACTCCCGTTGGCACAGACCTCGTCTCTAAGAATACGGTTCTTAGTCACATTTGTGTGTCTCTGTAGTTTGTGTGGCATGCACGTGTGGTGGGGGTGGAGGGTCAGAGGACAAACTGTGGGATCTGGCTGTCTCCTCCACCCGGTGGGTTCCAAGGACTGTCCTCAGCCTGGGTTTGGTGCCACATGGCTTACCCACTAGGCTGTCACACGGGGCCTCCCTCTCTTTGAAACTACCCCAATGGCAACAAAACTGGGGCCTTGTGCATGCTAGGCAACTGGTCTACCACTGAGCCCTAGCCCTGCCCCCTCCTCAGCTTCCTTTCCCTCCGCCTGACCTCACATTTTTGGCAGTCCTACCTCAGTCTGCCAGGTGCTGGGATTATTGGCCAACACTAACTGTTGCCCTGCCTCATGGCTGATGCCTCTATTGGTCAATGTACTTTCTCTCTTTTCCTGTGGGTGTGGGTTTGAACCTAGAGCCTCCAGTGCTAAAGAGGTGCTCTACCACTGAGTACATTCTCAAGCCTCTGCCATTAAAAGTTTTTATTACCTTTTTTCTTTAAAGTTAGTTGTGTGTGGAGATGAAGACTAGAGGGAGGTCCTCCCCCGCTATGAGGACTGAATGCTGGTCAGACAGTTTGGCCAACCGCTTATGGTCTGTGTCAGCCTTTGTCTAAGCCTGGAGCACTGTCACTGAAAGCCCTGGGAAGACGGTCAGCCTTTGTCTAAACCTGGGAGCACTGTCACTGAAAGCCCTGGGAAGACGGTCGCAGTAGCTCGGGCAGCAGCATTTCCCAACTGTCACTCTGCATCTCAGAATCCCACACAGAGGTCTGTTCACAGGGCAGACGGAGGAGACAGCGCAGGGAATGTGCTGGGCTGAGAGGCTGTGGCTCCGGGATGAGCTGTTACCTTTGGCTTATTGCAGTTAGCAATCACTCGCAGGATCCTCCTCTTGAGATCCTCCATGTTGGCCACACTTAACCTGTTTGGGAGAGAGCAGACTGAGCTCAGCACGCAGTGCTGACAGCGCCCCGACCCCAGGGACAATCTGGAAGCCACCGACCTGGGGATCACATCCATCCCGAGGATAAGCGACACGACGAAGTCCTTGGAGTACTCACAGAGGGATTTGCTGGGATTCAAACGAGACACAAGTTAGTCCAGGGTCGGCTGCTTCAGAGGGACAGACAGCTGCCAGGGCAAAGTCAGAGCCATAAGGAGACATTCAAAAAAGAGAACACACAGCTAAACCCACAGATGATCCCTGTCACCCAGCAGGCCCAGACAGTACCATCTACCAAGGTGCCCTGGGAATAGATAAGCAGGTGGAGGCAAGAGGCTAGCCATTGTAGTGTGCACCTACACGGCCATGCTGGCCCAGGGTGGTGGCGCAGGCCTGTAATCAATCCAAGCCACTCAGGAGTGTGAGGCACCATGTCTGGCCTACCAGGGCTAGACTAAATTCAAGGCCAGCCTATGCTCCCATCCAGCATTTAAGCAGTAGAGGGAGGATTGAAAATTAGGACCAGCCTGGGCTACGTAGTTAAGAAACTATTTAAAGACTTAAAAAGTAAAGTATAAAGGTGAATACCACCTAAGAAATGCATACTTCTGGTATAAAGGACTCTCTTGGAGAAAATAAACACTTGCAAACTGTGTTGATGCTGAATTAGAAAATA